CTTCTCTGCACACCTGCTCTCTGAGTGGGCAGCACACAGCTTTCTACACGCCTGAGTACTCGGGTAAACAGGTACTGACTTGGGAGTTGGAACTGTTCTACTTGGTTTCCTCCATTACACACTGGGTAAATCACTAAACCTCTCTGCATAGCAGTCAATGTGCTATGGATGTCAATAGGCTGTGGGGACAAGAAATAAAAACACAAAAGTCCAAACAGTCAAAAAAGCAGGCTCCTTTGATAAACTCCCATGTTGATGACTGTCTTTTATAGTACTCTATGCAATTAATGCACTTTAAAAGAAAATACGCTTTGCTATGCCCCTTTACCCTGCCCGCCCCAGACTCCTCTGTCTTATCTCCCTTGACATCGCCAGACACAGACATGTGGCCTTTCTACAGCATCCACAAATTACTGGGCCTGTGGTGCCTGATTTGTCTTCCCAAGGTCAAAAGTGTTTCAACTGCGCATGAGAAAGGCGTAAGGCAAAACCCTGAATACAGACGCCACGCTGCAACGACTTGAAGTTTTTTTCCTCAGTCTTTCTCTCAGCAAAACCCCATTCAGAACACTTTCACTCTAAATAGTCTATCTCTAAACATCAAAGAGCCGCTAAAGAAAGATAGGAATATATAATCAAGTTAGAGTAGGATCTGAAGTGGCCTAAAGTTTGGTCCTCTCCGCCCCTTGAAAGACCACCAGAAACTAGAGGTCAGAGAAGGTCTCTGCACATCAATTCACATGCTCCCACAAGAGACCAGATGTCCCCTCTCTGATCTGGGGGGAAGGGGCCCGGCTGTTTCAAGCTACTGCTGGCTCTGACCTTTGGGCTTCTATTCCAGAGGTAAGTGAGAGAAGATGGGGTGGTAAAGACAACAGACTGGTGAGTGCAAAGAAAGAGGAGGGCCACGTGAACTGAGTCTAAACGGGAACTCAAGAGATGCAAGGCTCAACTCACTGCAGTGGATCCGCAGTAAGCACAAGGATGTCTGCTAGCCATTTTGGACGGCAGAACTAAAATGACCAAAACTAGTCACTTGCAATGAATTTTCATAAATCCTAAAAAATGTTTCTAACCTCACAAAGCTGTAAATAAATCCTAAAAAATGTTTCTAACCTCACAAAGCTGTAAATAAATCCTAAAAAATGTTTCAAACTCATAAAAACAATACTCTAACAGATGTTCCCTACTCTTAAGTTCTCCAACCCTAAATGCAGCCCCAGTGTGGCTGGGTGCTGACTGTAAAACCCAAGGAAGGGATGAAGGGCCAGCCGCTCTGAACAGTGAGCAAGGTGTGGGTGAGGGGCAATGGCTGTGTCAGCAGGAACAGAATGGAGACAAACAGTGTGAGCAGGAGCTAAGCAGAAAGAAAAGAAAGTTCACACCAGAAAAGGAGACTGAATGGGAGGCCAGCATGCCAAACGGGAGCCTAAACTGGATGAAGGCAAATGGTGAAGCCAGGAAGACCTGGAAAGGGCACGTGAGCAAGGAGACAAGCAAAGCCGGAAGGGAACTTATTCTCAAATACATATGTATGGATGCACGCATGCATGTTATGTGTGTGTGTGTGCGTGTGTTTAAAAACACTGTATAACAGAGCATGTTAAAGGGAAAGAGCTGAAAGGTCAGACATGTGTGTGTGTGTGTGTGTGTGTGTGTGTGTGTGTGTGTGTGTGTGTGTGTGTTTAAAAACACTGTATAACAGAGCATGTTAAAGGGAAAGAGCTGAAAGGTCAGACA